GCACAAACACTGATACCAATCTTGACCCACACAATGGACAAAGTGATGGTAAGGAAGAGGAAGCAAAGAAAAAAGGGTGGATTAAAACGGTGGACTGGCACTATGCTTTGGAAATCGTTTTGGATCAATCATAGATAGCTTTTTCAGATATGTTAGGTTTGGAATTGAAGGGAGATGCATGGATTTGAATTTGATTAGGGGGTCCGCGGTGGTGAAAGTAATCCCTGAGGCCTTAATCTGTTATTTTTGTCCTCAGGTCAGCTTGTCTTCAAAAGCATCAATGCAGTGCTTCTGGTGCTCATCATACCGGTTTTCATTTGTCTCTATACCTAAAAAAACGGCCAAGATGCTTATTTTAAAATATATATAAAAAAAGAACAAAACAGAGTTTGAGTTCTTCGTGTGCCAGAGATGAAGCCGTTTCTTTTAGTTGAGTCTGAAGTACCTTGTAAGCAGTGTCATCCCTTGGCACAAATCAAAAATATCTGACACTTAAAAAGTCCATCTGCTTCTCTTTGATCGAGAATATAGTTCCCCATTTCCCTCCACCCGGTCAGGTCTATGTTCCAGGTACGCTGAAGCCTACATCCTGCATTTAGAGGCTTTTAGGAAAGCCCTGTCATTCAGTCAGAGACTACTGGGGCACCATGCTTGCGCTTATCTGCACTTTAGTTTTTATTTTCTGGCCGGTGAGCTATATAAGGGCCAGGTATAGCCGGGCCCGCTCATGCCGGTTGTCCGTGGACGACCTTGCTCTCCTCACCTTCTGCCTTGGAGTGGCTCCCAGTCCTGGGATGGGGCTTTGGACCGGAACCAAGTCTCTACCCCCACAGATGTTACTGAGCCACCAGATATTATGTCAGTTTGTGAGTGATGTATCATGCTCTTCTGCAGAGCAGTGCATGACTTTAAATTAGCCAGGATGCACATGACAACACTGAACCTCATCCCTGAAAGATGTAGTTAGTATGTTATTATTATAGCTTGTGTTACTCTCATCCGTCATATCAGATATGTCAAGTCTTTGCATTTCGATTTTGGAGCAGGAAGTGTTTTTACTTAAAATGTTACGATTAAATAATTACTTAAATATTAGAAATATACTTCATATAATTCAACTTGGACCCTCAAATATATATATTTTTTATTTATTTATTCCATCTAACACAAAAAATTGTTTTAAAATATAATTTTGCTTCACATCTAAATGCCAGCCTTATGGAACAAGGTCTAGGAATTTTCCAACTGATTTGTTTATTTCCGTTTTTGTTTTTCCACTTTTTTGTTGTTGTAAACATTTAAAACACAAACTAATTCCAATATGGTTATTCCAGTTATGCTTTGACTTATATATATATATATATGTGCCTCGCCATCAACTTACCACCGGCCACTCCAGG